ATCTCCTGCCTCCCCCCGAGCTGGACTACAGCCCCGCCCCTCGCCCGCTATTTTTTGTATTTTTTAGTAAGACAGTTTCACCGTGTTAACCAGGATGGTCTCGATCTTCTGACCTCGTGATCCGCCCGTCTTGCCTCCCAAAGTGCTGGGATTACAGGCTTGAGCCACCGCGCCCGGCCCCATTAGCATTTTTTATATACTAGCTTGGCTGGAAATGAATTCTTTCAATTTTTAATTTTTCTGAAAAAGTCTTTATTTCTCATTTACCTTTGAAAAATGTTTTTGCTGTTACAGAATTTTGTGTTGATTTTCTTCCTTTCAGAACTTAAAAAGGGTCACTCTGCTGTCTTCTGGCTTGTATGGTTTCTTAAAGGAGTCTGCTAGAATTTTAGCTTTTTCCTCTGTGAGTGACATACCTTTTTTCTCTGGTCACCTTCAGAATTCCCCTTTGGTTTTGTTTTTCAGCAGTTTGACTATGGTATGCCTGGTGTGTGTGTGTGTGCGCGCGTGTGCGTGTGTGTGATTTATCCTTCTTGGTGTTCTCTGATCTCGCATGGTGTCTATCTTTGCCATTGGAACCTTTACCATTTTAATCACGGTTATTTAAAATCCCTTCTCTGATAGATCTATTATTTTTGTCATATCTGAGTCTGCTTCTGCTTTTTGTTATATCTCTTCTTTGACGGTTTGACATGGTGTCCATCAGAGTAAACATAAAGTAAATATTTCTTATACCTGGAGAGAAGTGTGCTTTTCCTTCTGCTAGGTCTTTTAATCAGGGAGTTGAGTGGGGTTTAAAGTTTGTTGTTACTTTGATTATCCTCAGTGCATCATAAATGCTTCAGATTTCTCTAATGATCTCTTGAGTTTGAGGTGTGGGTCAATTTGTCAGAAGGGTTTTCTCAATGACTATTGCCAGCCTGAATTTAGGGCTCCATGCTTGGCTTTGTGTCCTCAGAAACTCACAGCTTAGTGGAAGAGCCAAGTACATAAAAAGTACTATGTATTATGGTTTCCTAGACTCATTTAGGTGGAATAAGCTTTGGCTCAGCAAGTTAAAGAAGGTGGCAATTGAATTAATCTTCTACCAGTTTCCCTTAATTTCATATTTGGCTTGTTTTCTTAGACTTTTTCTTCTTATATGTTGCTACAGAGATAGCAAAACATATTGCCCATGATAGACAGCACTAGTAACTCACAGAACTCTCTCATTGAGTCCATATGGGTCAACAGAATTCTTTGAACAGTAAATTTCAGGTGGGCATTACCCATAAGAACCGTCACAGGGTAAGACACCTATTTGCCATCTTCATGCTTGAATATTCTCAAGCTTCTTTCAGGTCCTAGGCTTTCCTTGTTTATATTATACAATGACTTTCAACAAACCTAGTTCTAGTTTTAACAAGCAAGTTTTGGGTCCATGAAATAAATGCGATTACTCAGGGAACAGGGATGAAATAAAGCAATAGCTCTGGACCCAAGGTCAAAATATGGGTAGGAGACTTTTAGTGATAGATATATCATATATATATTTTTTATTTTTATTTTTATTTTTAGAGACAGAGTCTCACTCTGTTACCCAGGCTGGAGCGTAGTGGTGCAATCTCGGCTCGCTGCAACCTCTGCCTTCTGTGTTCAAGTGATTCTTCTGCCTCAGCCTCCTGAGAAGCTGGGATTACAGGCATCTGCCACCAAGCCCGGATAATTTTTGTATTTTTAGTAGAGACAGGATTTCACCATGTTGGCCAGACTGGTCTCGAACTCCTGATCTCAGGTGATCCACCCACCTCGGCCTCCCAAAATGCTGGGATTACAGGCAAGAGCCACCACACATGGCTCTATATGATTACTTTTACATGATAGATAATGTAATTTACAGAATTAACATGTAAGGTTTAAATTAATCCCAACTGATTGTAACCTTATTGAGGCATGGATTTGAATCCCAAATGCCATATGTTGGTATAAGAGTCACTAAGCGCATGAGTAAGGCTAGCCTATTGCTCAACATCCATATCCCAACAAATGACCATACTTCCCTGTGTACATGGGAAGCTTAGATCTTTCAGGGTTTACAGAAAACAAACAATTCCAGAATGACAGTCAGAGATCATGGTGATGCCAATTTCAGTGAACTGGCAATGCCTCCCAGGAATCTCGTGTTTAGAGGGATTTTGAGGTCATGCCTGTAGAGGAATTCCATAACTGACTAATGGGTAATGAAGAACATCAGCACACGTGCCTTATAAATGCTGTCTGTAAAACAGTAAAAGGGAAATTTCCTTAGCCTGTGTTCACCTTTAAACAGAGGCCAAGATAAAGGCTGCACTGAGGAGATTCTTGGGAACATCATCACGGGAATGACTGTGAGGACAAAGGGAGTGAACAGGGAATGAAGGAAAGTCAATATAAGAATGCATTACTGGCTACTGCTCCTGGTAACTAGTACTTTATTCCAGCATACCTTTGGGGAGTCTTGGAAAATGTATTTTACAATTATATGCCTATGGAACAAAAGGTATAAAAATATTTGTACATAGGTTTCCTCCCTCATCAGTCAAAGGTGACTCCACAGATGTTAGGTCCTCTGCATTTCCAGGTTGTATATGCGTGAGTGCTCAGTGGGTCCTAGGATATCAGCTGCCACAGCTACATAGAAGCCCCAAAATGTTACGGGATCTTTTTCTGGCTAGAACCTCTGTGACTCTTGGTGCCTTTGCCTGAGTTTTGCTCGGGCCTGCTGGGCTCATTTTGCCCACTTGGCCTGGCAGGCTGCACTCAGCTCATGCCACCAGCCTGGGTCCCATGCCTGCCAAGGGCAAGTCAGGCATGAATGGTGAGAGGTGTGTGAGCAAGTGTCGGATCCATCCACTGTGCATGGTAAGACATGCTGGCTGCTGCAGCAGGGTGGGCAGCTCCAGGTGCCAGCATGGGTGTCAGCTCTCTGTGAGACTGCAGCCAGAACAGGTACACTGCAAACAGCTTCCATAGCTGACACCAGGGAACACAGTCGTGCTCAGAACTTTGGAGATGCCAGAAACCACAGGACCCCAAAGAAAGAGTAACAGAACTGGCTCAGGGACCTCCCGGGTCTGAGCTCTCCAAAGGGCCACATCTCTTCTTTCCTTCTCTTCACCTGCAATGTGGAGAGTAAGGGGCATGTCTCAGTCTAGTTTGTGTTACAGCTCTTTTAGCCTTGCCATTTGGTGGGTCCCAAGTCCTTGTCCTGTGACCAGGAAGAAAAAGGTACAAAGACAAGCAGAGGGTGAGCAAGATGAATAACTTTACTGAGTGATAGAACAGCTTAGAGGAAACCTGCAGGGAGAAGCTCCTTTCCGTAGCCAGGGTATCCTGATGAGTTTTCAGCTCCTAGCAGAGAGGGTAGCTCCTTTCTGCTAGGCAAGTCATCCCAACAAGTGTTCAGCTATCAGTAGAGAGGGTAACTCCTCCCTGCAGTTGGTCGTCCTGACATCTGCAGAGCTCTCAGCAGAGAGGAGGCCATAGAGTAGGTGGCTCTTCTCTGCAGGCAGGTTGTCCTATCATCTACCCATCATCTCTCCATCATCTCCCTGACATCTTTCCATCATCTCTGCAACTCTCAGCAGAGAGGAGGCCCTGGAGTGGGTTGCTCCTCTCTGTAGCTGGTTGTCCCATCATCTGCTCAGCTTTGGCTGGGCCCAGGGATTTTATGGGCCTCAGAGGGGAGAAAGTACATGCTGACTGGCCCATGCTGATTGGCCCATGGGTGGCCATGTGTGGGTCGAGAAAAGGTACCACAAGTTCCCACTCCAGTTCGGGACTGGCAGCCTGTCCCCCAGCCTTTAGGCCCTCCCTGGCCTTGTGCCAAGGGGAGCCTGCAGGCCAGTGCTGAGCTTCCCTCAGCCCCTCCTTGGCTTCCCTCCTATGCTCATAGGTGCTCAAAATGTGGAGACAGCAGATGTGGCAAGGGGCTGGTGTGTCAGCACTGCCCTGAGTGTGTTCATACCAAGTCAGGCTGTGGCAGCACCTGGGCCCAGCCTCAACTTTGCTCTGAGATCAGAGCAGGCACTGACAGCAGGGAGGAAGCCAAGCAGCGGGGCAGGCAGTTCCAAGCCCGCAAGGGCAGGGGATACTTCCTGGGCCCCCAAGAGTGCAGAGATGCCTGGGTCTGCAGTTACAGTTTGGGCAGCTGCAGCTGCACCTGGGGGGACAGAACTCATGCCTGCTCCATGGAGTGGTAGGCCTGGGTCTGCAGCTGTGACTTGGGCGGCTGCAGCTGCACCCAGGAAGGTGGCGCTCCTGCTTGCTCCATGGAGCAGGAGGCCTAGGTCTGCAGCTACAACTTGGGTAGCTGCAGCTGTGCTTGGGAGGGTAGCACTCCCACCTGCTCCTGGGCTGTGAGAGCACAGGGATGCCCAGGTCCACAGCTGTGGCTGGGGCAGCTGAAGTGGCACTCAGAAGGGGTGGGGCTTCTGCTTGTCCTTGGCTCCTGCTGGCTTCATGTAGTGTGCAGCCCTGGCCATGCCTCCCTGCTGCAGCCAGCATGATGGCAGTGGCTGTTATAGATAGCCTGCTGCTGCCATCACAAGTGGAGGAAGAAGTGATGAAGCAAAGCCTGAGGCAAAGCTCTGTCAGGTTGTACCTTTTCCAAACTAATCAAAGTCAAGCAGTTACTGGAAGCAGAATGGAGACCAGAAGAAGAAGAACCATGCTAAAAGGGTGTCCAATACAGCTACTCTTATAACAATTCTTTTGAATCCTATTCTCTGTAATTGCATATGCTCAATGGTTGGATAAAACTCCATAGAACCTCACTGTTTTAAGATAATCCATTCAAGCAGAGTCCTTCTCAGGAAGCATGATCCTTGGACTATCTCTAATTATTTAATTCAGCTTTAGATTTGGTGGCTGACTGAACACAGTTGAAACCCTACAAGCCAGAAGAGAACATTCTTTTTTTGAGATGGAGTCTTGCTGTGTCTCCCAGACTGGAGTGCAGTGGCGCGATCTTGGCTCACTGCAAGCTCCACCTCCAGGGTTCACACCATTCTCCTGCCTCAGCCTCCCAAGTAGGTGGGACTACAGGTGCCTGCCACCATGCCTGGCTAATTTTTTGTATTTTTAGTAGACACAAGGTTTCACCATGTTAACCAGGATGGTCTCGATCTCCTGACCTCGTGATCCACCCACCTCGGCCTCCCAAAGTGCTGGGATTACAGGTGTGAGCCACCACGCCTGGCCTATCAGCATTCTTAAGAAAAGAAATTCCAACCAAGAATTTCACATCCAACCAACCTAAGCTTCATAAGCAAAGGACAAATAAGATCCTTTTCAGACAAGCAAATGCTAAGGAAATTCATTACTACCAGACCTGTCTTTCAAGAGGTCCTTGAGGGAGTGGTAAATACAAAAAGGAAAGATCGTTACCAACTACTACAAAAACACACTTAAGTACACAGACCATTGACCCTAAAAAGTAACCACACAATCAAGTCTATATAATAACCAGGTAACACGATGACAGGATCAAATCTGCACATACCAATATTAACCTATAATGTAAATGGTGTCAATGCCCCAATTAAAAGGCACAGACTAGCAAGTTGAATAGAGGCAAGCCCCAGCGGTATGCTGTTTTCAAGAGACATATCTCATAAGCAATGACACCTGTAGGCTCAAAGTAAAAGGATGGAGTAAAATCTACCAAGCAAATAGAAAACAGCAAATAGCAGAAGTTGCTATTCTAATGTCAGACAAAACAGACTTTAAATAATAATCATAAAAGACAAAGAAGGGCATTTCAAAATAGTAAAAGTTCAAGTCAACAAGAAAACCTAGCTATCCTAAATATATATGCACCCAACACAGGAGCACCCAGATTCATAAAACAAGCTCTTAGAGATCTGCAAAGAGACTTAGATTCCTACACAATAGTAGTGGGAGACTTTAACACCCCACTGACATTATTAGACAGATCATAGAGGGAGAAGACTAACAAAGACATTCGGGACCTAAACATGACATCTGACCAAATGGATCTAACAGACAACTGCAGAACTCTTCACTCAAATGCAACAGAATATACATTCTTCTCATCTGCACATGGCATATACTCTAAAATCAACCACACAATTGGCCATAAAACAATTCTCAGCAAATTCAAAAACCCAAAATTATACCAACCACACTGGAACTACAGCACACTAAAAATAGAAATCAATACAAGAAGATTGCTGAAAACCAGAAAAGTACATGGAAATATAAAAACCTGCACCCGAATAACTTTCAGATAAGGAGTGAAATTAAGCTAGAAATCAGTAAATTTATTGAAACTAATGAGAACAAAGATACAACTTTCCAAAATCTCAGGGAAACTACTAAAGCAGTCTTAAGAGGAAAGTTTATGGTGCTAAATACACACATCAAAAAGTTAGAAAGATCTGAAATTAACAACTGAACATCACATTAACAGGAACTAGATAAATAAGAGCAAAACAATGCCAAAGCTAGCAGAAGACAAGAAAGAACCAAAATCAGAGCTGAACTGAATGAGGTTGAGATGCAAAAACCAAACCAAAACAAAACAAAAAACAAAAAAACACCAAAGAACAGTGAATTCAGGAGTTTGTTATTTGAAATAATAAATAAGATAGACGACTAGCCAGACTAATAAAGAAAAATAGAGAGAAGATCCAAATAAACACAATCAGGGAGGACAAAGGGGACATTACCACCGACCCCACAGAAATACACAAACCCCTCAGAGACTATGATGAGTACCTCTATGCACACAAACTAGAAAACCTACAAAAATGAATAAATTCCTGAAAAAATACAACCTTCCAAGATTGAACCAGGAAGAAATTGGAACCCTGAATGGACCAATAATACCAATCAGAAAAAGCCCAAGACCCGACGGATTCACAGTCTAATTCTACCAGGTACATAAAGAAGAGGCAGGCTGGGCGTGGTGTCTCACATCTGTAATCCCAGCACTTTGGGAGGCTGAGGCAGGTGGATCATGAGGTCAGGAGATTGAGACCATCCTGGTCAACATGGTGAAACCCTGTCTCTACTAAAAATACAAAAATTAGCTAGGCATCATGGCGTGTGCATATAGTCCCAGCTCCTCAGGAGACTGAGGCAGGAGAATCACTTGAACCCAGGAGGCGGAGGTTGCAGTGAGCCAAGATCGCACCATTGTACTTCAGCCTGGGTGACAGAGCGAGACTCCCTCTTAAAAATCAAAACAAAACAAAAATTCAAGTTGAGATCTGGGTGACGACACAGCCAAATCATATCAGCACACATGAATTCATGTTCAAAACGTGCCAGAGAGAAGGAAGAGACATTTACAATGTTATAGCATTGGATTTGTCAGATCCCAGTTGATGTGAGCCATAATGGATCATCATCATCTGAGGTGATTTTCTAAACCTGATGCAGTATAGAGGATAGAGTGTATGATAGAGGGATGACCCTGATGGCTGGCCAGCTAGCAGCGACTGAAAACAGCTAGCATGGCTCGGAAGACTGAGGCACACACTGTAGTAGAACTCCTGAACTTTAAATCCCCAGTGCCACCTGACAGGTTTGCTAATGGTGGGCTCCAGCTATCCTGTGAAATGTCTTATATCCTAATGCTAAGGACCTAGGAAAGAAAACTTGGAAAAGAGAAAAGGGGCAACATAAACAAGGAAGTAAAACTAATCTGACAGGAAAGAAAAATATGCATTATTCTTATTTTCAACTCATAGCAGACATCACTAATTTCCCATCATACCTTCCCTGATGAGTGCTGAGTTATCTCAAAACTCATTAACCCATCTTTTCAGGCAGAACATCTCAGTATTTCAGAGGAAATCAATGTGTCATCTTTGATCTATGACTATATTTAGTGTTATTCTAAACACCCCAGCTATAAGAAATGAGAAATCCTAACCTTTGGGAATTTAAGAATAGACAGAAAAGGGTCTTTGTATAAACTACCTAAAATCATTTTCTTTCTTTATAACTATAACTTAAACCATTCATTTATAGTTTCATCATGCTCTATCATGTGTTTACCTTTTCATGTAATAATAATACCTTAGATGAGTATGGTATCTTTATTATTTACAAAATATTCTCAGATGTTAACATTCTTGATCCTAAAGTCAAGCACTATTTTTCATTCTAAGATTAAGAAAACAAACCAAAATCATCCCTGAGGCAGAGGCTCGAAGAAGGTAGGTGACTTCTTAATTTTATATTTCAAAATCTAGTAGCTGGAGGAACTAAAATGAAAGTTTAGAGCTTCAACGGAGTACTTGTCTTATGCTCTTATGCCTATTTTGCACATAGAAAGAATCTATCCAAGATTAATTTTTAATATTTTATCAGTTGTAAAAAAAAAAGATTTGGAACCATGAAAATATATCTTTAGTCCTTTGGAGACTAGCACCCAGAGATTCTGTGGCCAAGGGGAGGGGGACTTGCCAGTATTGTTGAGGTGTGCATTATTTGGAGTTAAAGCTGCCTTATCTAGTTATGCAATTCGTTCTGTCCCTAGAATCAACAGTTCCTCAAAACTCCAATATTAAAGACAACCAGAAAATTGCACAGTAATTGTACCATGGAAAGAAGATTGCTGTCTGCTCCTCCAGGCATTTGTTTTATGTGCTGACAGAAGAACATTTGATTACTCTTAACTGTCTTATGGGGAATGGCTAATAAATGCTAATATGCACCAGGGAATTACCTGGCATTACTATAACGGTGGGAACAAGATCCACAACATCATGACTTGCAAGCATGCATTTCTGTATCATTGAAATGCATCACATCATTGGTGGCCATACTGTTGGGTCCTAGTCTCAGGAAGAACCTGGGGTCAAAATTCATGAGTTGCACTTGGTCCTGAGTCACAGTTTACTCCCAAAATTTCAGGCTTAAATTTCTTGGCATAATGGAATAACATTTAATGTGCTTTTTACAGGAGGAAAGCTATTCCAGAAGAAAAAATAAGCCTAAAATTTAATGAAAGAGTGATTGGCTGGGTGTGGTGGCTCACGCCTGTAATCCCAGCACTTTGGGAGGCTGAGGTGGGTGGATTATGAGGTCAGGAGATCGAGACCATCCTGGCTAACATGGGGAAACCCCATCTCTTCTAAAAATACAAAAAATTAGCCAGGCATGGTGGCGGGCGCCTGTAGTCCCATCTACTCGGGAGGCTGAGGCAGGAGAATGGTGTGAAACCTGGAGGTGGAGCTTGCAGTGAGCCAAGATCGTGCCACGGCACTCCAGCCTGGGTGACAGTGCAAGACTCCGTCTCAAAAAAAAAAAAGAGTGACCAAGGAAAATCATGTTGTGACTTTTCCTGTGATTAAGAGCTTGGGTCTCCTTTGTCATGGGGAAAATAGAGTCATGGTGAGTCAGGTCTTTGCTTATCAAAGTCTCCTGAGACTTAATTATTCAGCAAGCCTTTACTGAGCACCTGCTAAATGCCTGGGACTGTCCTAGACACTTTATACAAGTTATCTCATGGGTTCTTCACAATTACCTTACGAAGCAGTTACTGTGGGTGGCTGAGGTTACTTTGAGACATCACAATATTTTTCCTCGTTTATTGCTTTATTTACGGAATATCACCCTCTCTTCAGAATGCAAAATAATTTGGAGTCAATATGTTATTCTGAAAAGAGTCTTGGAGTAGGAAGTCCATGGGCATTAGGAGGAAGATCTGAGAGGTGAAGATAGAAATGATGCTGAAACAGAGAGAAAATAAAACCACTGAATTTAAAGCAAAAAGAAACAAAGTGAGTCTTTGGGACCTTTCCTACCTGTATTAATCTTTAGTGTTACAGAATAACTAAACTAGTTGGATCCTTCACAGTCATTTAATGTCCAACGTCACCTTGATGGGAGATCCAGGGATGGGTTGAGGAACTGTTTAATCACTATTCCTTGTTTTGGGTAAGGGACGCAGGTAAAGGGATAGCTAATATCAAAATTCAAATGCTAGCAAAAAGAAATTTAGCAGCGTTAAATAGTATTTCTAATTTTAAAAAGATTAATTTGGCCAAGCGCCGTGGCTCATGCCTGTAATCCTAGCACTTTGGGAGGCTGAGGTGGGCAGATCACGAGGTCAAGAGATTAAGACCATCCTGGCCAACACGGTGAAACCCTATCTCTACTATAAATACAAAAATTAGCTGGGCGTGGTGGTGGGTGCCTGTAGTCCCAGCTACTCGGGAAGCTGAGGCAGGAGAATCACTTGAACCTGGGAGGCGGAGGCTGCAGTGAGCCAAGATCGCACCACTGCACTCCAGCCTGTTGACAAAGCAAGACTCCATCTCAAAAAAAAAAAAAAAAAAAAAGTTTAATAAATCAATTTCTGCTTGTAGCCAGGAGGGAGGAACTGACACCAGACTAATCCTTGTGTGAAAAGAGCAAATACAGTAACCCCACCAAAAGTCAATATAAATGGAATAAGCCATGATGCAATTGCCTTCAGGCACTCGACAACAGGTAGAGCAAGACTGCAATCTCAGGGTGAATGCAAACTCAGCAGGTGAACCCAGACTCTGCCTGGGGACCTTTTGTGATACGGCCCAGGGATTGGAGTAGAGCAGGGCAGGCCTGTGGATAGGGGAGCAGGACATTGAGTGTAGGGCCACAAAGATGATGTAGTCTGGGGTGAAGGACACAGGGGACCTGAAGTCTGGGGAGCTTTTTAAACTAGTCATTTGCTGATGGACCACCCAGATGCAGGACGAGACTATGACGATCTTCACAGAACAACTACACGGGGCCTGAACACTGATCACAGATCTTAGTGGTTGAAGAGTGCTGGAGATGGAGTTCCTTCAGCCAGGCCAGAGTGAAGACAGCACGTTAACACGTGGGTGGGTGCCCAGCTGAGAAAAAAGGAAGACCATACCTTAGGAGTAAGGAAGGAGCCCGCCCCAATGTCAGAAGTGAGACTCAGAGGCAAGGCCAGTCTCAGGGAAGGTAGTACAACTTTGCAAATAGAATTATGAACCAACTGGGGTTGGTTCAGGCACTACTACAATTGGGGTAATCTGTTTTCACTTCCATGAAAACTGAAGTGAGCTTTGTGTTACTAAATGAAAGGACAAACACTTCAATAGGCACGTAGCTAATTTTAGATGAACGTAATTGAATCAATAAACAATTTAATTTTAACATTTCCTTTCTTTTTTCCTCTTCTTTTTTTGAGACAGAGTTTTGCTCCTGTGGCCCAGGTAGGGGTGCAGTGGCACAATCTTGGTTCACTGCAACCTCTGCCTCTTGGCTTCAAGCTATTCTCCTGCCTCAGCATCCCGAGTAGCTGGGACTACAAGAGCATGCCACCACACCTGGCTAATTTTTTGTATTTTTGGTAGAGATGGAGTTTCACTGTGTTGGCCAGGCTGATCTCGAACTCCTGACTTCAGGTGATCCACCTGCATCAGCCTCCCAAAGGGGTAGTCCTAGCTACTCGGGAGGCTGTAATCCCAGGAGTGGGATTACAGGTTTGAGCCACTGTGCCCGGCCCAACATTTCCTTGAAAAACTTAAAACTCCCAAAGAAGTTTTTATCATAGGTTATAAGTATAAAGACCCCAAGCAATAACAAATCCCTGCCACCCTCAAACACACACATTCACTGATAGAAAATCAATATACTCAGCTATCATATTTCAGATGTGCCAGTTTTCTGGTCAATCAGCAATCACTTCCTTGTGAACTCAGGCACAGGGGCTCACACACAGCAGCACAGGACACAGTCTGCCCCCCGGGGCTGCTGACAGTCTCTTGCTGGTAGGAGGAGACATCCCTTACCAATGCTGAGGCTGCTGCCTATTTTTTTCCTGCTCTGTAAGAGCTTCCGCTCAAATGCTTTTGTCTGTGTCCTTCAATGCTGAACTTAGCTTATGCTGTAATTTTTTTCCCAATTTTTTTTCTCCTACTGCCTGCAGATATTCAAGTAAATAAGCCACTCTGGATTTTAAACTCATTCATCTGATAATGTTTTTACATGATCTGAAGTCATTTCATCATTAATTTTCTCATTAAACTATGGATGCAACAACAGATAGATACTTGCCTTTTTAGTACAGATGGGGTTTCACTATGTTGGCCAGACTGATCTTGAACTCAGATATTCAACTAAATAAGACACTCTGGATTTTAAACTCATTCATCTGATAATGTTTTTACATGATCTGAAGCCATTTCATCATTAAGTTTCTCATTAAACTGTGCATGCAATAACAGATAGATATTTGTATTTTTAGTAGACTTTTCACTATTTGCATATTCAGACTCAGATTTCAACTAAATAAGACACTCTGGATTTTAAACTCATTCATCTGATAATGTTTTTACATGATCTGAAGCCATTTCATCATTAAGTTTCTCATTAAACTGTGCATGCAATAACAGATAGATATTTGTATTTTTAGTAGAGACTGGGTTTCACTATGTTGGCCAGACTGATCTCAGACTCAGATATTCAACTAAATAAGACACTCTGGATTTTAAACTCATTCATCTGATAATGTTTTTACATGATCTGAAGCCATTTCATCATTAATTTTCTCATTAAACTGTGCATGCAATAACAGATATTTGTATTTTTAGTAGAGACGGGGTTTCATTGTGTTGGCCAGGTGATCTCGGACTCAGATATTTCAACTAAATAAGACACTCTGGATTTTAAACTCATTGATCTGATGATGTTTTTACATGATCTGAGCCATTTCATCATTAATTTTCTCCTTAAACTGCCTACCTGTGGACCTGGGTAGGCAGGAGCAGTAAGGCAATGACGGAGGCACAACCTTGGTCTTAAAGACCTCGCTGTCTAGAGGGAAACACAGATAAGTAAATAGACAGTCACCATACAGTGTAGTAAGTGCTTTGACTGAATAAGTGAGTTTTGTGTTTGCCTTATCCTGACTTGGTGGGAGCTGGGGAGTCTCAGGGAGATCATTCAGAAGCAGTTTTTCCAAAACCTTACATTGCACTTACTATGTACCAGGGCACCTCTATCAGAAACTTTTGAAACGTTTAAAAATATATAAATTCCAAGCTGTGAGGAAACATTTACTGAATCTCTGAGATTATGCCTTAGTAATCTACATTTTAGAAAAATGCGCTCCAACACTGAGTGAAAGAGTGAGACTGTCTCAAAAATAAAACTCCCAAAGTACCCCAGGTGATTCTTTTGCGCAGTGAAGTGCGAGAACCACTGATTTAAATTAATTGGTTAGTTCAATATTTGTTCTTTCTTCAATATGATCTTAAAACCAGAAATCCACATCAGAATGTAACAGCAAGAGTAAATGACTCGCATTGTTAGTCACAGATTTAAAAAAGCATTGTTAGTCAGAAATTACTCGCAGCCCCACTCCCTAATTGATCAACAAATAGGTTGTGTATTGTTGTCTTTAAAGTTCAAACTCTGGGGCAGGGGCTCTGTTTTGTTGTGCCTCAGTTTCTCATGCTAAAACAGGATGAAAAGATTCCTATCTTATACGACTATTGTGATGGCTACATGAGGTCATGTGTAGCAGGTATTTAGAAAAGTCCCTGGCATACCCTCTCTAGGCCTAAGCTGGACTGAGCCATCATGCTAGGTCAGTTCCCATCAGTTAATCTCTCTTCCTTGCAGAAAACTACCTCTTTGTCTTTTATGAGGAGACAAACTGAATCACGAATTTTATCCTGAAGTGCATGAGCTGGAGGGAACTTGTGAACTCAGGCACAGTGGCTGACACACAGCAGCACAGGACACAGTTTTCTGATAATGTTTTTACATGATCTGAAGCCATTTCGTCGTTAATTTTCTCACTAAACTATGCATGCAACAACAGATAGTGACTGAGGAGCTGCACCTGTGATTTTTCATCAGAGGAAGGCCATGGAGGTCAATTTATTTCCTGGAGTGTTGTCTCATCTTTGCTTTAGACAGTGTGGTAGGCGGAATAATGTGTCCCCCTCCCCCCCGCCCAAATGCCCAATGCCCAACCCCTTCTCTTCAGAACCTGTGAATATAGTACCTTATATGATAAAAGGTATATTGCAGGTATGATTAAGAAATTTGAGATGGTAAGAGAATCACAGAATATCCAGGTGGGCACAATGTAATCACAGGAGTCTTTACAAGTGAGGAATCTTTCCCAGCTGAAGTCAGATTGAGAGACACATCCTTGCTGATTTTGTAGGTGGAGGAAGGGGCTAGGAGACAAAGAATGCAGGCAGCCTTTAGAAGCCAGAAAAGGTAAGGAAATGAAACCTCTTGTAGGATCTCCAGAAGAAATGTAGCCCTGCCAACACTTTGGTTTAGATGGGCGAGATCCATGTCAGAATTTTGACTTGCAGAACCGTAAGGTAGACATTTATGTTGTTTCAGCCACTAAATTTGTGATAATTTGTTACAGAAGCAATACAAAACTAAGACAAAGTCTTTGGGGACATACTTTGTCCCCCTATAATAATACGTAAAATAAAATAGCATGTGTTTTACCTTTTGTGCCCCCAAATAATTCCCTCCCACTCCAGTGGCACACCCCCTTGTCCTTCAAAATGAAGTCATTGGAAGTGAGAATTTGCCTTGAATATAAGAATTTGAAGTCTGATATTTCATTTCAGCAGATCATCCATCCTTCAGTGTGCTCTATATAAATCAGAGTTATTCCCTCTCTTTTTCGCATTATACCCTTGACTTCTTTGTATTTAATTGTATTTACCTCTCTTCTTTTTACCTTTAGAAGCTTGCATCTACAGAGTTTTCGTCAGTTTTTTTTAAAAGATTTCTTGTTAAACTAATGTTTCATAGAGTCTTCTAATCATTACCCAGAAATAGGGCCAAAATAACTGGTAATCACATCATATGCCCCACCACTTTAAAACTCCATAAAATTATAGTGTAACTAAATGAACCTAAAAGAAATAATGCAAGTGAAATATTTAAAAACCCTGACTAAGAGAGTTTTGCATGTATTTTTAAAATAGGCCTTTACTTTAAACTTTGGTTACTTAGTGAAGATAATTTTTAAAGCGATGATTAAAGATATATTTAAATTAAAATGTAGTTAAAAGGTAGAACATAGCTGCTTATAAAATCTCATTGGACTAAAAAAACCCAGTGGAAGTAAATGTCTTCTGCTCACTTAGACATGGTTTATGGCATCTATATTTTGCAGGAGGAACAATAACAAAGTTTGCAGCTCAGTGAGAACACCGAAATTGATGGAAGCTTCTTTTGATTATAGCGTACATTTATGACATCCACCATCAGCAAGTAAGAGCTTAATTTTCTAATTTATTTAAGCATTCACAAAGCTGTTTGCCTTTTCCTCCAAGAGAATGTCTCAGTAGTTTGTACTGGCTGCAACATATTTTTCCTTGGGAAACTTTGAAGCAAGTGGAATTCTTTATCTTGGGGGTGAAATGACTGAGGATCATTTCAGGTGAAAGACAATAAACACCCATAGGGGTTTTCAGTGTGATGTGGTCATCAGAAATGTTGATGACAAAAAAGAATTAGCTACACTCTCTGCTTCATTCCTTGGTGCTATTCTGATCACAACAGGAGTGTTGATTTCAGGGTCACTTTTGATAAGGGGTTGAGATCTATCAAATGGCACCCAGAGAACGGGGACAGGGATATTTCTATATCATTCATGTAAGGAACAGTTGGAGACATTAAGGCTACCACACTTGAAGAAGAAAAATGTGGTGGAATATGATGGCAGAATTCAAACATTTGAAAGGATGACATGTAGAGAAAAAATTTGACCTACTTCTGTCCTTCTCGAAGAGGCAGATGTGGGACCAGTGGATGAGACTTACACTGAAGTTGATTTCAGTTCTTCATAAAGAAGAGATTTCTTGGGATCAAAATTGTCTGAAAATAGGAATGATCTGCTCTGTCCCTAGAGTTGCTCAAGCATAGCCAAAAACTTACCTCTTGTTCAGATTTAAAATTCAATGATTTTATGATGCTATATAAGAGTGAGCTCTGCCATGTATTGGGAAGTAAATGAGGCTTTGTATTAGGAACTCTGAGTTACTTTACAATAACTCCCCATTGTACTCTCTCTACGAGATAGAGTGAGGTTGGGTACTTGCTGCTGCTGAAGTCTCTGTCCCCAGGACCTGATGTCTAAAGGGTGTGTGGGACAGCTATGTGATTCTAGGCCAGAGATGGCAACTGTATGTCACTATGCCCTCCTCCTGCCTGTGGCAGATAATCTAAATGATGGTGGAACTCTCTCCTGATGCATAGGTAGAGCCTCAGGATCCTCCTCAGTGCAACATCCTGACACTATTAGAGTTGGTATACAGATGAAGTCTGATAATTATTATTGCTTTAGGGCACACTTTGCATGTCATTTCTAGACATAGCCCTTCTTGTCAGTTCTTCTGTGCTCTGCTCTGTGATGCTAGGGCTGGCACTAGACAAAATACATTTCTGCTCTGCTGGCTGGATCACTGTTAGGTCAGAGGAGCACTACAAGGCTGGAGGAGGAAGAAGTGACATTTTCTTTCCTTCTTGCTTTCTGTGACTTCTGTTTTTTCCTCTTCCTTATAAGGATAACTTAAGGCATGGCTGTTCCTTTCCCTAGTCATAGCTGAATTCAGTTTTCAGTTTTTCCAATTCCCAGAAACAGCTTCATGGCATCCTCTTTGGAGCAGTAGCACCTTTGAGCCAGTGCTCCTCTTCAGAAGTCTGAATTTTAACTGCATGGGACCCCATTTTCAGCTTCTGAGAATTGCTTATTCCAACCCCTTCCCTTTTATTTTCCATTCCTAGGGCTAGTAGCCCTTTCCACAATTGCCACTCTGTGATACTTGACTTTCTTTCTGACTATTTAGTTACCTACAACTTTATACCTAATTAGAAGTTATTTGATTTCTCTGTTCAAATACTTGGTATGGCTTTTTCTCTCAACTTTCAAAATTTACCCTAAGCTGATGATGGGCTGTTTTAGCACAAACTTGATTAAGGACTAGTTGTGTTTAATTTCATTTTTTATTTTATTTTAAAAGTTAGAGCTGTATGGAACTTTTATATAATCCAGTCCAATTCCCTCATTTTAAAGCTGAGGAAATTTAAGTTTCAGAAATGATGGTGGAGGTGACATAGGGCCTTCTTGTGACTTGGAATTGGAATTACAACTGAAGATATCAGACTAAGATCACAAAGATTTAGGAGGGAAATAACAGAAAAGAAATTGACCTTTAAGGCAAGAGCCCAGTCCTGGGGGAGGTCTCAACAAAGCACTACGGCTCTACAAACACTAGGTCTTCTCTGGCCTCCTTTGGTTGGGAAATTAATTATAAGTTTAGTTTTTTGGTAGGAGAGGGACAGGTGACTATCTTAGAAGGTTCCAGAAGATGATTGTGGGTGTTGCTAATAGAATGATATTTAAAAACACCTTGGTAATTAAAATACCCTTTTAAGAGTGTTAGAATGAGGGGTGGTTCCAAGATGGCCGAATAGGAACAGCTCCAGTCTACAGCTCCCAGCATGAGCGACGCAGAAGACGGGTGATTTCTGCATTTCCAACTGAGGTACTGGGTTCATCTCACAGTGGCTTGTTGCACAGTCGGGGCAGGGCAGCCCACCGAGCAAAAGCCGAAGCAGGGCAAGGCATCGCCTCACCCGGGAAGCGCAAGGGGTCAGGGAATTCCCTTTCCTAGCCAAGGGAAGAGGTGACAGATGGCACCTGGAAAATAGGGTCATTCCTACCCGAATACTGTGCATTTCCAACAGTCTTGGCAAACAGCACACCAGAAGATTATATCCCACGCCTGGCTTGGAGGGTCCCATGTGCATGGAACCTCACTCATTGCTAGCACAGCAGTCTGAGATCAAACTGCAAGGCGGCAGCGAGGCTGAGGGAGGGTTGCCTGCCATTGCTGAGGCTTGAGTAGGTAAACAAAGCGGCCAGGAAGCTTGAACTGGGTGGAGCCCACCGCAGTTCAAGGAGGCCTGCCTGACTCTGTAGACTCCACCTCTGGGGGCAGGGCATAGCCAAACAAAAGGCAACAGAAACCTCTGCAGACTTAAATGTCCCTGTCTGAAAGCTTTGATAGAGTAGTGGTTCTCACAGCACGGAGTTTGAGATCTGAGAACAGACAGACTGTTTCCTCAAGTGGGTCCCTGATGCCCGAGTAGCCTAACTGGGAGGCACTCCCCAGTAGGAGCAGACAGATACCTCACACAGCTGAGTAACCCTGTGAGATGAAGCTTCCAGAGGAACGATTGGGCAGCTACATTTGCTGTTCAGCAATATTTACTGTTCTGCAGCCTCTGCTGCTGATACCCAGGCAAACAGGGTCTGGAGTGGACCTCAAGCAAACTCCAACAGACCTGCAGCTGAGGGTCCTAACTGTTAGAAGGAAAACTAATAAACAGAAAGGACATCCACACCAAAACCCCATTTGTATGTCCCCATCATCAAAGACCAAAAGTAGATAAAACCACAAAGATGAGGAGAAAACAGAGCAGAAAAGCTGAAAATTCTAAAAATCAGAGTGCCTCTCCACCTCCAAAGGAACGCAGCTCCTAGCCAGTAATGGAACAAAGCTGGATGGAGAATGACTTTGACGAGTTGACAGCAGAAGGCTTCAGATGATCAAACTTCTCTGAGCTAAAGAAGGAAGTTCGAATCCATCACAAAGAAGCTAAAAACCTTGAA